ACTTACATAGGAAAGGGAGGCTCCTTAGAGGACATGGGAGTTTTGTTACCAGAAGACCATACATTGGATACAAGGCAGAAAAAACAATGGATTCTTCTACCTGCTCCAGGTCTCCAATCTCTTGCTCAATCTACTCTTCCTATTAATGCCAGTGTTATATTCTAAAATACTAGTTGTATCCTTTACATTCCTCTCCTAGTTTTGGATGAAATCCGAAAGTAATCAAGGCCTTCTCAATGTGGTGCTAACTTGTCTTCAGTCTCCCAGGCCTATCAGACTTCTCCCATTTTCCAAAGTGTGCCCTGCATGCTCATGTCTTTTTTTCCAGATACTACCCGATGGAATCAAGCCCAGTTCAAATACTCTCTCTCCCTGTGTCCCCAGTTCTTATCAATTGTTCCTTCCATTATAGTCCAACAAGAGCAAGTAATTTGCATCTCTGCTCAGGAAGCACTCATCTAGCTCACGCTGTACTTATTTTTTCTCTCCTGCGTTCCTCCACTATGGCAGTGACTTTCAAACTTTCAGCAATAGCATAGCTCATAGCAATAATAAGCAATAACTAGAAATACATTTTACATTATGTTCCAAGAGACACATTCATATAAACTATATATTTCATCAATTTTAAGAAGTACTTCCTCCATTTTAATGCCTGAAATCAGGATTTAGGCCAGGTGCGGTGGTTCATCCCTGTAATCCCAGCACTTTGGGAGGCCTGAGGCAGGAGGATCACTTGAGCTTAGGAGTTGGAGATCAGCCTGGGCAACAAAGAGACCTAATCTCTACAAAAAATAATTAGCCAGGTATGGTGGTGCACACCTGTAGTCCCAACTACTCAGGAGCCTGAGGCAAGAGGATTGCTTGAGCCCGAGAGCTTGAGGCTGCAGTGAACCATGATCACACCACTGCACTCCAGCCTGGGTGACAAAGTGAGAGTCTCTCAAAAAAAAAAAAAAAAAAAAAAGATGTGGCAATAAGGTATCATATTTTGATAGAGTTTTCACTTTCTTAATAGTACATAAAATAATGGCATGTTTCATAATGAATGACATTTTCAGATCTGTTGAAATGTGTTACATAACCAAGACAAAAGTTGCACAAAACAATGTTTGCCCTTTCTTCTGGGCAAGCTCTCTTTAGTTTTTTGCTCCATTAAGACAAAATGCAAATTGTAATCCACTAAAATGATTTCACTACTCACTAATGGATCATAATCTGCAGTTTGAAAAAATGCTGAGAATTGAAATTTTTTTTGTTTTGTTGAGACGAAGTTTCACTCTTGTCGCCCAGGCTGGAGTGCAATGGTGTGATCTCGGCTCACTGCAACCTCTGCCTCCCAGGTTCAAGCAACTCTCCTGCCTCAGCCTCCTGAGTAGCTGGGATTACAGGCGTGCACCACCATGTCTGGCTAATTTTGTATTTTTAGTAGAGAGGGGGTTTCACCATGTTGGTCAGGCTGGTCTCAAACTCCTAACATCAAGTGATCCACCCGCCTCGGCTTCCCAAAGTGCTGGGATTATAGGTGTGAGCCACCACACCCGGCCTATGCCCAGCTAAATTTTGTATTTTCAGTAGAGACAGGGTTTCACCATGTTGGTCAGGCTGGTCCCGAACTACTAACCTCAGGTGATTCACCTGCCTTGGCCTCCCAGGGTGCTGGGATTACAGGCCTGAGCCACTGCACCCGGCCAAGCATTGAAACTTTTTATAGCTACAGAATAGGATTTATTTATTTATTTATTTTTTGGAGAGGGAGTCTCGCTCTGTCACCCAGATTGGAGCGCAGTGGCGCGATCTCAGTGCACTGCAGCCTCCACCTCCTGGGTTGAAGCGATTCTCCTACCTCAACCTCCTGAGTAGCTGGGTGGCGCACGCCACCATGCTTGGCTAATTTTTTTTTGTATTTTTTAGTAGAGATGTGGTTTTACCCTGTTGGTTAGGCTGATCTCAAACTCCTGACCTCAGGTGATCCACCCATCTTGGCCTCTCAAAGTGCTGGGACTACAGGTGTGAGCCACTGCCTAGAATAGGATTAAGACCTAAAACCAGGCTGGGTGTAGTGGCTCACACCTGTAATCCCACCACTTTGGGAGGCTGAGGTGGGCGGATCACTTGAGGTCAGGAGTTCAAGACCAGCCTGGCCAACATAGTGAAACCCCCTCTCTAATACAAATGCAAAAATTAGCTGGGTATGGTGGCGCCACCTGTAATCCCAGCTACTGGAAGGCTGAGACAGGAGAGTAGCTTGAACCTGGGAGGCAGAGCTTGCAGTGAGCCGAGATCCTGCCACTGCACTCCAGCCTGGGCCACAGAGCCAGACTCCATCGCACACACACACACACAAAAACTAAACTAAAACTGGCCGGGCCCGGTGGCTCACTCCTGTAATTCCAGCACTTTGGGAGGCCGAGGCGGGTGGTCAGGAGTTTGAGACCAGCCTGCTCAACGTGGTGAAACCCCGTCTCTACTAAAAATACTACAATTAGCTGTGCGTGTGGTACAAGCCTGTAATCCCAGCTACTCAGGAGGCTGAGGCAGGAGAATCGCTTGAACCCGGGAGGCGGAGGTTGCAGTGAGCCGAGATTATGCCACTACACTCCAGCCTGAGTGACAAGAGCAAAACTCCATCTCAAAAAAAAAAAAAAACCCAAAAAACTAAAACCAATTACATTAACATGACTTTACAATTCAACTATCTGCAATAAATATAACTTGAATTCCAAGAAACTCTTGCCCAAAACGGTGGAGTTGCAAATAACTTGATCGTGGTTTCAGGAACTTCCTAAAATCCATTTATCTCATTAAGTTACTGACAGAATTTGCCTTCATCAGGGTAAATAGCCCTCTGCTCTACTGAGTTTAACAACTATTTATCCCTTTAGGCTCTCTTCAAAACTCTCCCCATCCTCTGCCCACCCATCCTAAACTATGATATCACAAATTTGTCCCAAACCCAATCAGAACCCGTCACTGAAAAACCAGTCTTAAACCAGATCCCTGGGCTGGGTGTGGTGGCTCACGCCTGTAATCCCAGCACTTTGGAAGGGCGAGGTGGGTGGATCACCAGGTCAGGAGATCGAGACCATCCTGGTCAACATGGTGAAACCTCATCTCTACTAAAAATACAAAAATTAGCTGGGCGTGGTGGCGCGCGCCTGTAGTCCCATCTACTCAGGAGGCTGAGGCAGGGGAATCGCTTGAGCAGAGGTTGCAGTGAGCCGAGATCGCGCCACTGCACTCCAGCCTGGCGACAGACCAAGGCTCTGTCTCAAAAACAAACAAACAAAAACCAGATCCCCCAAATCTTGTAATTATTCCATCCTTGACCTCCCCTTTTGAAAAGGTACAAAGATTCTGTCAACTTAGTGTCTCCCTTACTATTGTAAGCCAACTTTGCATTATCCACAGGTTATTTACCCGAAGTCAGCAGTGACACTGGATTAAACGCTCCTTGAGGGAAGGCACAGTGCTTGGTATTTATTCTCCCACCTTCTCTGGGTGATCAAACATTGACGGAAGAGGAAGGTAAATGAGTTCTCAAACAGTGAGAGGAAAAATGTCCTTAGGATCAGAGGAGAGCCTACAGCAGGGGCAATGGGGCTGAAGGTAAGAGCTCTTGTTGCAGAAGTTGGAAATTCTGCGATTGCAATAAGTCTCCCCTTTCTCTTGGTTTTATTCACTCATCACTTCTTCTTCACACCTGGTACTCAGCTGACGTTGTTTTAAATATTAAAAAATAGAAAGCATTCCAGCTCACCCCAACCACTTAACTTCGTTACTCTGTGATTTTTTTTTTTTTTTTTTTTTTTTTGAGACGGAGTGTCACGCTTTCGCCCAGGCTGGAGTGTAGTAGCGCGATCTCAGCTAACGGCAAGCCCCCGCGGGGTTCACGCGATTCTCCTGCCTCAGCCTCCCGAGTAGCTGGGATTACAGATGTGAGCCACCACACCTGGCTTGTTTTTGTATTTTTAGTGGAGACGGGGCTTTCACCATGTTGGCCGTGCTGGTCTCGAACTCCTGGCCTCAGGTGATCTGCCCGCCTGGGCCTCCCAAAGTGCTAGGATTACAGGCGTGTCCCACCACGCCCGGCCCTTTGTGATTTTTTTTGAAGTGGCCTTTGCCTCACTCTTGAAGATGCCCATAATAATGGCTAAGGGGCTGTTGTATGGTTCTTATCGGCATTGTATGGTGATGAAGTCATTGAAAAAATATGCTGACCTGCATCTCTAATTTCATAAATACTAAATTTCACATAAACACTGGAAAGGCTCCTTGGACTCAATAAGCCATTAAAAGTAATGTAAGTTTGCTTTTAGCCAAGAAGTGGGCCCAAGAAGGTACCCATCCACCTTTCTACGTTTCACAGTGCATCCCTTTTCAAATTCAAATTATCCTATCCCAGTTCCTGCAACAAGGCAGGTACTCTGGCCTCCCAGTCTTTGCTTACACTGTTCTCTCGGCAGAAACACCCTCCCCTTCACCTCCTGGTTACATCCGCTCCTCCAAGATCTAGCTGAAAGGCCACCCGTGGCGACCTCTCCTAAAAGCCTTCCTGCATACTCTCTGGCAGAATGAATGACCTCAGTACTTGGCCTCGGACGCGTCTGCCTTGTGCTCCGGCTGCCGCCTTCCAGCCTAATCCATCTGGAGGACCAGCCTTCCTGGAGACTGAGGCCTCTTCCTCTCGGATTGCCCAGTGCTCTGCACGTAGTAGGTGCTTAGTAAACGCTCGCACTGGGTTTGGTCACTTTGTTCCCTTAATGCCGGGTCAGGTAGTGGAGCAGAGACGGCCCCGGCTGTCTTCCTTCTTGCCCGCCCGCAGGCAAAGCCCCCGGAGGCGCAGGACTAGCCGCGTGCCTTTCCCACCGCCCCCGCGGCGCGCACAGCCCAGTCACGGGCGCTGGAAATTCCGGCGCGTGCGGGCGCGCTGGGCAGGGCGGGGGCGGGAGAACCCGTGGAGTGAGCCTGTGACGTGAGGGGGCGTGGCACGGCGAGGCCCCGCCCCCTCTCCCTCGCCCTCTCTCGCGGGTCGGGGTTACATGGCGGCGACTGCGGCAAAGCGAGAGCCTCGGAGACGCCGCTGCTGCCAGCACAGCCGGAGACCTGAGCCGACACTGGGGGCTGTCCGCGGGTCCCGCACTCTCTCAATGAGTCGGAGAAATCCCGTGAGTGTGTGTGTGTACGTGTGCGGGGTGCGCCGGCGGGGCGGCTCGGGAGGGCGCCGCGGCGGGCCCGGCAGCGGCGGAGCCGGCTCCCTCCTCCATTGTGTGTGACCCTCCGGCGGCTGCCGCTCAACAAAGGCGCTTTTGTTTGGTCTGCCGCCCGCCCCCTGCTCGTCCGCTTGCCCGCTCTCTCGGGCCTGGCCGGCGCGTCCCCGCGCGGGCCGGCGGGCGGCGGGCCGGGGTCTCCGCGTGGGGCCGGCGAGGCGGCCAGTGGGCCCCTCCCACCCGGCACGCCCCTCGCCGGTCGCCCTGCCGGGCTGAGCCCGTTCCCTGGCCCTGCACGCCGGCTGCCGCCCCGCCACCTGCGCCCGGCTCCGCGGGTTCGAAACCCAGCCGGACCGGAGGGCGGGCGAGCGAGGGGCGGCGGCCCGGGGAACATGAGGTGGCGTGGAGTCTCGCCTTCCTGGCACTCTGCCTTTCGAAATGCTCCCGCGTCTCCTCCCCCGTCCCACCCGGTGACTCGGCCTCAGCTGACTCCGGCCGGGCAAAGTCTCCAGTGGCGTAGCGCGCAGCGCTCTCCCGGCTCGCCTCAGAGCCCTGAAGTCCGCCCAAGTTTTGAGTCTAGCCATGAATGAGGTACTGAAAACTCGGAGACGAAATTCCTAATTTCCTCCCCCGGCCCTGCAGTCTTGCCTTAGCTTCTTTCGGGACCTTAAGTGGTGTTCTGTGAAAGTGCCCAAATGAAAGCTTGTTTTGTCGGTTCACCAGAAAGGGCCTTGTCACTTTGCTGTGCATTTTAGTCCGCCTTGTGAGTTGTGTCGAAAAGTAAAGGTGTTTTGGCAACCTTTTGTTTATTGACGAGTGTAGGACCCAACCGGTTCAGGTGTTACGGGGGAGCTCTGTGCAGCAGGAGCTTCTCGATTCCTTTCCTGTTTTATTTTTTCTTTTGCTTGTTCATTGGAAAAGGTCCAGTGAAAGGGACTGGTGAGTTGGAATTAGAAGCCGACTTGTATTAACGTCGTAATTCATGTTCATTGCTAAAGATGCAGTCTAAGTAATGACTTTTTTTTTTTAATTTTAACGGATACAGATGATTTGTCAAGGGGAAAAATTAACATGCCGTACAATGAAGAGCAAGCAGCTTCAGAGTAATTTTCTGATGGCTGATTCTTCTAGCCTGTCTCTTACAGTTCCGATTGGGCATGTCCTCTCTCTTTAACGCTGGAAAACCGAGATGGAAAGAATGATCTGACCAGAAGAATGTAGGGTCCAAACAGGGCCTGGCCCTGAAATCAGGAATTTCTTCATAGAAATGTCAGATTTTAATTTTTAAAAAATAATTTTGAATTGGGTGAAAGAAACTTTGTCTTTAGATAGTAATTGTTCAAACATGTTTATGAAGTGTTTGCTATGTGCCAGGGAGTGTAAAGTCTTTTCACATATGTTACATCATTTATTAAGAATTGCCTTGTTAAGCGTGTCAAATTATTTATTGATGTCCTGAATTCAGTAATTGCAGTTAATCTAGAAAATATGCCAGATTTGAGCAGAACATATTTGATCACCTAGGTATTACTGTTCAGAAGAAAACACTGGAAAATGGAGAATATTTTAGGAAAAACTTCGTATATGAGGATATTTTGGAATTCAGTTATTTGCAAAAGAGGATTAGAAGTAGTCGTTGGCTACTTGTGATTAAAAAATCCAGAGAAGAGTGATCTGAAGTAAGTTAATTTTGCAATTAAAAAAATGCACTCATTCTAAAGACAAATGTTAGCACTAAAAGTGTTGCAGTGCTTTACATAAATTCATTTAAAGCATCGTGAGAATCAACTGACAAAATAGTAAGGTTTGCTGACTCAGGGTACTTTGCTGAAGGGGATGGGGTCGGGTAGGAGGAAGCTTACAAGTGCTGCTGCAAGTTTTGAGTTGGATGATGACTCATGCTGCCCACGGACTGCTACGTGGCTTTTTTTTTTTTTTAAATTGTATTTTTTTTTAAATGATAGGCTAAAATGTTCCTGTCCACATTGAAATTCTCTCTCATTTTTTTCTGAAGAGGAACAGCAGTTTCTATAAAGTAATGGCTTCTTAAATTGCATTTTAAAAGGATATCCTATACCCTACAGGTGGAATTGTGTAACGTTTGCTGAGAGGAAAGGTAAAACCAATTGCTGGTCAGGTGCTGAAATTAAATGTTTGATACTAACAGGTTTTTGGCTACTGCTGAGAGAGATTTGTTACAGGTTATTTATAAAGGACAGATAGTACTTTTATGGTGTCGTTAGAAATTGACCTTATATTTTTATTGGTTATGTGAGTTATCTTTATATTTAATATTTAATCAGATATGGCTCTGAATATGAAAGTTTCACTCTCATGGAATTATTAAAACATGATTATATGTTGTGCTTTGTGATTTATGTGAATTTTCTGTTTTAATAAAGACAATTTGAAATAGGTATTAGGCACTATTTTTCATTTTTTTTTTAAGATAAGCTGAATGTACAGTTCCAAATTTAAAACTTTAAGTTGAAACTTGGTAATAAGATACATCTTTTGACTGATTTTAAAACAGGCAACGTTTAGCAAGTTGGCTTAAAATAAGATTGAGAGGGGGAAAAAGATTGAGAATGGCAGTTTAAGAGTGGGGCTGGGTGCGGTGGCTCACACCTGTAATCCCAGCACTTTGGGATTCCACTGAGGTGGAAGGATCGCTTGAGGCCAGGGGTTCAAGACCAGTATGGGCAACATAACAAAACCCTGTCTCAATTTTTAAAATAAAAGAAAAATTTCCCACCCATCCTCTAGTTTTTCTGTGTATACTGTTTAATTTTTCAAATGGATTTGAGGAGTTTGTGGACAGTAAAGTGTTTGTTGTTGTTTTTGTGAGACAGGGTCTTGCTCTGTCACCCAGGCTGGAGTGCAATGGTGCGATCACTGTTAACTGCAACCTCTACTTCCTGGGCTGAGGTGATCCTCCTACTTCAGCCTCTTGAGTCCCTGGGACTACAGCTGTGTGCGACCATGCCTGGCTAGTTTTTGTATTTTTTGTAGAGATGAGTTTTCACCATGTTGCCCAGGCTGTTCTTGAACTCTTGGGCTCAAGCAATCTGCCTGCTTCAGCCTTCCAAAGTGTTGGGATTACAGGCATGAGCCCCTGCTCCCGGCCCGTAAAATGTATTGTTAATGTGAATTAAATTTTTGGAACTATTTTGGAAGAGTATTGCGTGCTTTATATCTAGAGGATTTTTAAATAAAGTTTAATTCAAACTTAAAAAAAAAATTCTAGTAAAGGAAACATAAAAATACAAAGTATTGAAAATTTTCAGAGCATCACATTACTTAGAGGTTTAACACATTTCCGGCATTGTTTTCAAATATAGGTAATTAGCTGTGGTGTGCATAATTCAGAGTTTAAAAACAAACTGAAGCCAGGGCAGTGGCTAACGCTTGGAATCCCAGCACTTTGGGAGGCTGAGGCGAGACTCCAAAAAACAAACAAACAAACAAAAACTGGATATCTTAGCTTGCTTCCTATCTGCAAGGTACTGTTTTATGAAATGCTGAGCCTTCTCACCACTGCTATCCAATTCCTTGTTACTTTTGAACCATTCGAACCTTGTGTTACTCTAGGTCCCCTGTTAAAATGGAAAGAAGATGCCTCAGAAGTAAATTCTGTGTGGCATTGTTGGCTGCCTTCATTAGTTCCTTCAGCCTGTTTTGTGGGCTGTTACATTACACTACAACCTGCCTGTGGTATGGGAATTTTGCTCATTTTTATTGCTGAGAGCCTTGACTGAGACTTTAAGAAAACAACTCCAATGTTACTGTAGTTAATGGCATTTTCCAGGGGTTGCTTTCATGTGAAGTTGATGCTTTTAAGGTGACAGTGATGTGGGCCAAGTCCAGCACTGGTTTTTTCATCTCCATGAACTGCCTATTTGGAAAATACTGTGTGGCTCTCTGATAGAGTTGGTTTTTTTGTTTGTTTGTTTTTTGTTTTTTGTTTTGAGATGAGTCTCACTCTGTCGCCAGGCTGGAGCGCGGTGGCGCCATCTTGGCTCACTGCAACCTCCGCCTCCCACATTCAAGCGATTCTTCAGCTTCAGCCTCCTGAGTAGCTGGGACTTCAGGCACATGCCACCATGCCCAGCTAATTTTCGTATTTTTTTTTTTTTTTTTTTAGTAGAGACGGGGTTTCATTATGTTGGCCAGGATGGTCTCGCTCTCTTGACCTCCTGATCCACCCACCTGGGCCTCCCAAAGTGCTGGGATTACAGGCGTGAGCCACTGTGCCCGGCCCATAGAGTTCTAAAAGTTTTGTCTTTTATACATGTCAGTCTTCTAAGTCCATTTCTAAAAACTTGTTCAGAGATTGAATGCTTATATAGCAAATAAAATTTTCCCATTAATTTTCATTAAATTTGGTGGTTTTTTCACAGAAAAAAAATGGTATCATAAAACTTGTTTTTAGAATCCTAGCATTTACCTCAGAAAAGTCTGCCTCTGCAGAGTGCAAATCTATATGCATTTAATTCTGTACAATCATAAAACTTTTAAAATATTACTGTTTTGGAGGTGTCATGGGCATTATCTTGCTTCATTCATGTACATCATTTGACAGTTAAGGAAACTAAGGCCTGGAGAGATCTAAGACCTTGGTACTGAAAGTGTGAATTCTGGACCAACAGTATTAGCATTACCTGCGAACTTGTTAGAAGTTAGAATCTTGACCTCATCTCAGTCCTACTGAATTAGAATCTTAGAATCTACATTTTTTTTGTAAATAAGAGGCACAATCTTGCCCTGTTGCCCAGTTTGGATCGGAGTGTAGTGGTGTGATCATAACGCACTGCCACCTGGAACTCCTGGACTCAAGTAATCCTCTCACCTCAGTAGCTGGAATACAGGTGTGTGCCATCATACCCTGCCTTTTTTTTTTCTTTCTTTTTTTTTAAGAAGTGGAGTCTCGCTGTGTTGCCCATGCTGTTGTCAAACTC